GCGGCACCCTGGCACCAAAGGTGATTTAAATAATTACTGTATTTAAGAAAGTTAGCCCCTGAGCAATTAATTCCAAGTAAGACTAATCTTGAACAGAGCATTAACTTTGACAAAGATACCAGACTGTAAACACTATTGTTAGTTCTATTCATGAAGCAATACATACTACATAACAATTAATGCTTTAGAATATAATCTTTAATTATTTACAGTACAGATATATACCTGTCTCTTATACACATCTAGATGTGTATAAGAGACAGATTTAATTCTCTTCTGTTTTGCTTGTAAGCAACAAGCAAAGGGCATATAAAAGGTTTTGTGTGATTGCAGACCACTGCTGCCTATCTCGTCCACCAGGTCCTAATTTACCACCACATACCTATGTGTTGATCAATATACTATATATGTGGCAGCAAAAGGACCTTGAGATCATCCTCATTTTCTGTTTTAACGTCACTTAATTCAACAGAGTTTAATAGATGTCAGTCATTTGCCTGTGCCTCTGTTCCCCTTTGGAATGACAAGCAACTAACATCAGCACATTCAAGCAACACAGAACATCTTTTAATACTGTATTTTGCTCAATTCTAGATTTTTTATTTCTAATATAAAGTGCTTAAACGTGTTTACCTTAATAATGATTCAACTCGATATAACCTTGATATAATAGCAATTCAAGAGACAAAGTGTACAAAAACAGAAGAAGTCACAATTCCGTCAAAAAACAAGTTATATATATGCCCACAAGTTAAGTCTATTTATCGGGGAATTGGATTTTTGGTTAACAAGAGATTGTTGTCTTATGTAAAATGCCTTAATTTTGTCAGTGATGATGTCGCTTATACTGAACCGTGGCAAGCTGGCTACAAGCATAGCAGAAGTTGTTCTGATTTGGTGTGGTGTCAGCGAATGCTTGTGGCAGTTGTAATGGAAAAGCACTGGACGTTCAACAAAATGGGAATAGATATGAGTGCTGCATTCGACTCCATTCGAAGGTCGACTATACTGAATCTGCTTAATGATGCAGGGTGTTGCAAAGACGAAGTCAGACTCGTTCGTTTTCTTCTTGCAAACACTCGCCTCAGAGTTAAAATCAAGAATGTGCTCTCAGAAGACTTTCAGTCTACTATAGGGTCGTTTCAAGGCGATAGTCTATCTGGCGCATTGTTCACACTTACACTTGCTGGAGCACTTAGGCATGTTAGAGCAGTCATTCCAAGGCCAAATCCACCTATATCATTTATGGGGATGCCACGTGAGTCAGAATATGCTGATGACGTCGATTTTTTAGATGAAGATCCTCAGATTCCTAAGCATATATTGCCCACCGTTAAAACAATATTACAAGAATGGAACCTCTCAGTAAATGAAGACAAAACTGAATTTACACAGATATATATGGCTAATAAACAAGACCTAGATAGTAGTGGAAACAAAATAAAAGACAATAAATCGTGGTGCTCAAGTAAGCTGCTTGGATCTTTTTTAGATTCCATCGTCGATGTTAAACAACGCATCATTCTCGGAAACGTCTCTTTTTCGCGATTCAATAAAATTTGGAACCGTCGAAGATGTATTTCACTCCAGAGACGTCTTATAGTCTATGAAGCCCAGGTAGTTTCTGTCATGCTATACGACTGCAACAGCTGGTCTGTCCCTAACAGTGTATTAGATGATCTTGATATAACCCATAGACGACACCTTCGCCACATTTTAAATATCAAATTGCCTAACGTCATCCGGAACCACGATCTTTATAAAGTCACTGGCGTCAACCCATTATCTGAGCGTGTTACAAAATCCTGATGGTTAATGTTTGGTCACATCCTTAGAATGGAAGAAACATCCCCTGCATATCGTGCCTTGTCATTTGCAGTTGATGGGTGCTGCCAACCAGGTAGACGTGGTCGTCATAAAACCAACCTTCTCGGAGTACTTCGCAAAGACCTTCAAAAACGTAGCCTAAAACTACGGAACTTTGATGATATCCAAGTACTTCGTGAACTTGCTGCTAATAAAACTACATGGATACGTCTCCAAAATATGTTATGAGACTGATCAGAAACTTTAAACTGTTAAAGCTTTTGTAAACAGTATATATATATACATACA